GTCCATTAACGAAACAGTATTGATGTATAAAAGATGGGAGGATGATACACGCCATAACCGAGTGCTGGCGACATGTCTATACAGCGACGAATGTGAAACTCTTATACGATGAATAGGGTTGGTTACTCCATACTGAATCGATTTTCATTCGATTGAAAAATTGCTAACATGACCTGCTAGTACGGCTTATGATTAACATAACTTTCATTTCATTCGTCCTAGTTTTTATCATATTGAGTTGAAATGACTTGTACCTTTTCGAATCAGATAGTAGTGATTGATGACTAGTACTTTTATACTAGTATTTTTTAGAATTGCTTGTTCTTACAATTTCCTGTGCTCATAAAATCAAAATATGTACTCGTATAAAAGTGTCAAGACAAGCAATCTTCTTATTGATATCTTTCTTCTCATTTTTACCTTTTTTTTCAGAATTAGGTGTCATACATTTTCATGCATCGCTCCGAGTTCAAAAGCCAGAAGAACAGTAATCAATGGACGTAATCGTACAAAACTCATATCAAGATGACTTGCCAGAGTCAGCCTATATTGATCCATTGGTCGCTTTGCTTATGCCAAAACCAAAATTGACTCTAGTCGAAAAATTCGAACAACACACGGAGGAGACTCAAGACCAAGGTTGTTGTCTCAAATTTGATAATGCATGCTGTTCAGTAATCATCAAATGGTGGAATGTTCATTATAAATGTCAACGCGCATTACTTCAATTTATTGAACAACCAACTTTTCATATTGTGATCATTGGACTCGTACTTATCGATTGTTTACTTGTAATAGCTCAACTTGTACTTGATTTTATCAAGTTCACGAAAATTTGTCACTCAGGGCATAGTAATAAAACCGCTGCACACAATGAACATGAACATCATCGAATCGAGTTGGCTATCGAAGTTCTCCACTACTCTTCCTTAATACTGTTAGTGGTGTTTGTCATCGAAATTTTGATCAAACTATTTGCGTTCGGGCGGCATTGGTGGAGTTTTCATCATAGAAAAATGGAATGGCTTGATGCAATCGTTGTTATTGCTTCTTTTGCTGTCGATATAGTTACCATGTATAAAAAGAGCATTTTTGCTGAAATATCTTTATTGTTTATCTCTCTTCGTTTGTGGCGCTTGGTAAGTTACTGCTGTTAGCTAACTACGTAAGTTGTATTTATTTCTCGTGATTTTAGACTCGAATCATCAATAGTAAGCGCCACTAGCTTTTTTTTTGTTGACTCTTCGCTCTTTTCATCTCTCTTTGCCTAGGTGTGGCTCAGACCATTCGATCAGAAGATGAAACTAAAAAGAAGAATTTGGCTACTAGTTATAATAAACTGATCGAACTGCTCTTGACTATTTCAGAAAAAAAGAGCTTAGCTATCTCTGACTTTAGTCGCAAGATGGCACCAGAAAGTAACCAGAATATTATTGGCGAGTTCGAAGCAATCGATCAAGCTTGTCATAACATTCTTCAGGATTGCCACCATACATCGTCACTCACCGTTGTCACTGAGATGGCACGTCGTTTACAAGATGCCTTAGAAAAATTCCAATGGGAGCCACAAGCCGATAGTAAATTATCAGACTCGAACATTGACAATTGACATTGTTTCCTAGACGTTCATTGTAGTTGATACATGTTCCTAAAAGTATTGTCTTTCTTTTATCATTTTATGCTTTTTGATTTTTCTGATTGTTCTCAAACTTTTGCAGTGACGATATCGGTTTTCGTTTATTTATGAAATAAAATTGGTAGTTAGCTTCAAAATGTATAGCAACAGTAGTGAAAAACGCTTAAGGCCTCTCCCCCCCCCTCCAAAATCGATTTTCGTTACAGTGCATCGGACTAGCCTGAAACTTTCCACAAATGTTGGGCACATCAGAGTAAAGTTACGAAATTTTTTTTACTTCTCTAAACCTCAGCGTTCAGGAGTTTTCTAGAGATCAAGGCCAAGAATGGGCCCTCTGGCAGAACAAACTTTTTTTCACTATACTTCAACGGACTGAATCGGGGATTGTTTTATTTGAAGAAGAACTGTTTACCGCTTGGACTGAGGGAAAGAGATTTTAAAAATTTTTCCTTTGTTCAATTTAGGGACGTCCAAAACCCAAAAATTCTGAAAATCTTACTCCAACGCTTTTGAAAAATCCTGGATTTCTCTCAGATTGACGATTAAATAAAAAATCCCTTTCCCTCATCCGAAGCAGTACACATGTATGTATCGACTAAAAAAAAACGCAGCTCGCTAGGATGAAGTATATTGAAAAAAAATTTGTTCTGCTGTCGATATTTAGCATAAAAATTCGTTTTGAGAAAATTGATAAACAAAGTGAAAATTATTTTTAAGCCATTTTTGGGAAACAAAGAATTCTAAAGGATTTCT